TCCTCCTCTCTCCTGGTTCTCTCTCTTGTCTCTGGGATCAGTAGTTAGACTAGTGTTAGCAGTAAAGACTGAGGCAAAGAAGGCATTTAGTAGCTCTGCCTTCTCTGCATCCTCCATCACCAAGGCACCCTCCGTATTCAGAACCTGACTAACATTTTCCCTAGTCTTCCTCTTGCTGCTGATGTATTTATAGAAGCCCTTCCTTTTGCCCCTGACATCTCTCACTAAGTCTAATTCCAAACGGGCCTTGGCCTTCCTCATTACATCCCTGCATTCTCTGGCCACCAGGCTCCCTGTGGGGCTTCTGGTGGGGCCCACGCCAACAGCGGGGTTGGGGCCCGGGATGTGAATGGGAGCGAGGCAGCCGCTCTGGGCGCTGCGATGGGGTGTGATAGGCAGCCCCGCTGGACACGGCAGGGGTGGGGATGAGGGTGCATGGCCAGGGCAGAGTGCTGCCTCTGCTAAGGTTGCTTCTGGCTGTGGCAGGCACACAGAGATGGTCGTGTAGAAGAGGTCCAGCACACCCAGATGACAGCAGTCATTTACACAAAACAGTCAAAGGCACATGCAACGCAGTCCTGCCTGGCCACATTATACTAACACCATGTGGCAGGATTTATGTACTCACTGTTGACGAGCAATAGCGCCGTTCTGGTTCAGCACAGCCCGGGGTCGCAGAGCTGCTGAGTCCCTTGGTGTCTGCATGCAGTGCTCTAACAATACCAGGGTTAGGTGTTAACTACACCTCACACCTCAGCAGAGATGGGCAGGAGCTTGAGGTGCGCCCATGGCTGACCGCTGAACGCCTCCAATGGAAGAAGAGTCAGAGGAGATGGGCAAGAGTGAGGTGCCCATGAAGTTCACGAGTAACGAAGGATGTGACTGACCGCAGTGTTTGCTGACTTTATTTCAACACAAAGAGGACTGGAAGGTGGCCTTTTCCTTTTTACAAGAACAACTATGTCAAATGCTTGCATCAACTGACTGCCTCTCAGTTGAGTGGATGAACTGGTGTAAAGGCTTTTCCCTGAGTTCATCCAAAGAGATTGAATGTCTCCCTGAGTTAGCCAGAACAGCATGGGGGAAGTGTGTAGGTGGCTCAGCTCAACATAGAGTATAAAAGCTGAACAACTAACAAAAGGAACCCTGTTCAAAGATCCACAACTAGTGGGGAGACACAGGAGCTACCTCAGTAAGCAGGGTACACACGTCTTTGCCAACAGGTTGGCAGGCCTGGTTAGGAGGGCTTTAAACTAGGCAAGATGGGGAAGGGGAGAGTTCCAGTCAGGGTAACGTGGCTCAAGTCGGGATGCCTCCTGTGGGGAAGAGCATATGTGACAGGACTATGGAGGATCCTCTTGCACCTCTCCTGCACGCTCACTTACCTCCCTGAAATGCCTGTACACCAGTGCATGCAGCATGGGGAATAAACAGGAGGAACTGCAGAAGTGTTTGCTATCACAGGGCCTGTTTTGCCAATCGGCGGGTGGGGCAAAAAGAACCGGACACCAATGGAAAGAACTTTCTTGTTTTACTATTAATATTAAGGCAGTACAGAATGATACATTTAACAAAACAAAACAATAAGCTCACTATGCGCTCGGTTTTAGCAACAGACAAAATAAGCAAGGTAACGCACCTAGCCATTGCTATACAAGAAAGAGCATAGTGATTAAGAAAAAGATACATCAGCAATTGCCTAAATACGTTACCATCATGCAGATCCGCAGTGGCTGGGGAGCCCCTGTTGCAGCGAGGATTTGGAGAAACTTCACAACAATTGGGAGGTCTTACATGGTGCATCCACCCATAAGCAAGGTCTCCTAAGTCGCAGCAAGAGGGTCCAGCTTTTATAGAGCCTCATCAGCAAATCATGATAACTGGCATTTTCTTGGTGAGCGGTAACATCTGGTGGGG